AAGTTGGCAACGAGACAGTCTCTGCATACACCCTCGAACATCTCGATATTCTGAAGGGTACCGTCAATATCCCATCCCTCCTCATCGTCCCCAACAGTCCATGTGGACTGGTCCTCGAATCTGATGTTCAATATCTTCTCTCAGGTATGCCATACATTTCTAATTATAAAAACCAGTGGAAAAGACCGCTTCGCGGCCCTTTTCCACTGGACCCCGTCGAGAAACCATGAATCTGAAAACACTTTTTTTAGCCTGCGGTGCAAGTACCTTGGTCAAGAAGCCATTCTTTGGCCTGCGGCGGTAGAGCGATAGCCAGGCCTGAACTTCGCGCTAGAAACTTTTCACCTGCTGCGCTAGTTACTGGTTGTTCTATCGGATTTGGCCTGCGGCGCAAGAGCCTAATTCAAGGACCCATCCTAGGCCTGCGGCGCGAGAGCCTAGGCCAAGGACGTTTTCTTCGGCTTGCGGCGCTAGAGCGAGGGCCCGTCATAAACCTCGCACACCGAGAGCCTAGCAAGATATTTTGTTGCTAAACTACCAAAAAGCAAAATGGCAAAATTGCCAGGGATCCGAACCCACGTCCACCCGCGTGGTAGACCACGAACCAACCCACTACCCCAAGAGACAGCTGAGAGCAAGAGGCGGGAAAGGCCTCTTCCGTCCTCGGGAATCCGGCGAGGCAAAGAAAGGGCCGACCCAATGCCCCGGGCGGGAGGCCTTCTGGTCACTTTGCAAAATTCCATTTTTGAGTCTCAATCCGCTGAAAATTTGTAAAGATAATAAGGTGCGCGTACACATACGAAAAGATACAAAAAACATACATACATTTCTAGTATTATAAAAATGTTTCCCAGGTATCGTCTCAGGCCAAAACTTCCTGTTCACCAACTTGTGCCTCAACATTCTCCACGTCATCTCCCCAGTAATGTCCGAAGTTCCATCGGGTCTTCTTGACACTGTCAGCAATCTGGTGTGCGACATCTTCAACCTGCTGCCCACGTAAGTTGGAGCTGTTCGAAACTCCATACCGTGTTGCTTTTAGTCTTCCCAGCTGGTTGGAGGGTAACGGTGGTCTTCTTGGCCATCTCCTTGGTGCCAATGGAAACCCTCTACTTGATGGTCTGATTGGCGGTCCATCCGGCGCTCCCGGAGTGATCGACAGTCTCCTTGAGCAGCTTCTCGGTTCCAATCTCCTCAAGGTATCGGGGCATTTATGAAGCTACTTCGGCTACGGTTTACTTTACCCCCCTCCCAGACCCAGGGTCCCAAAGTCTTCAATATTTACGCTATTTTTCCGACGCCATTCGATAGAGCATCAAAAAATATACTAAGAGCTTTTATGGCAGCTCAAAATATGTTATATAAAATAGTTATAGCAAAACAAAAATAACCTCTGAAATGGGGTAAAAAGCTAGTTTTCGATATTCTCGATATTTATTCGACATTTTCGATACGCCATTCGATACAGCATCAAAAAATATATTCAGACTTTTAAGTTCAGCCCAAAATAATGTAAATTAAAATAGTTATAGCAAAAACATGATTCAAACGCGAGCTCCCCCTATAGGAACAGGAGGAGCGAAGCTAGTTTTTGACATTTTCGACATTTTTACAAAATTTCTTTAAGGACACTCGATAGAGCGTCAAAAAAATATACTATGAGTTTTAATTACAACCCAAAATAATGTAAAATAAAGTAGTTATGGCAAAAACAAGCAAAATCCGTATAACCGCTCAAACACTATTTTAATTGTATAAATTTTACTATTAATTTTTTTCGCAATTCCCGGCCAGGGGATAGTAGCTGGGACCGAAGGCTACCGATTGGTGGCCTTAAAAAAAATTTTTGGGACGTTCCGGCTGGGGGGTCAGTAAACACTTGCCTCTACTTCTATTTCCCCATTTCCAGGCGATCCTCGCCGGTCAAGATGGTGCTCTTCTCTCTAACCTGCAGCTGGCTGACAATGCTGGTCTCCTGGATGGAATTATCGGTGGTGTGCTGGGAGGAGGATCTTCTGGATCTGGATCTGGCGGAAGTGGTGGTGGTCTTCTTGGCGGTATCCTTGGAGGAGGTGGTCTTCTTGGCCGCAAGTGAGCAACACCGCAAAAAGTGGAGCAAGAAATTTCTGTACCATAATGTTTCTTTTGAATAAACATCCAAGCATTAATGTCCCTACGCAGTAAGCCAGAACGAAGCTGCACCACGCTTTTCTCTTACATTCCTTTTTTTTGGGATAATGCTTACCGGGACTGATCACAAAAATCGTTAGCAGCAGCAGTGTTTTCGCAATTCCACCGTGCCAACTTGAGGTTTCCTTGTGGGTACTACAGTACTGGGCTCTAAGGCGATGAAGAGCAGATGCGAACCGCGGTTCTTTAGGATTTCCGGGGGAAACCAAATTTTTTCCTGGTTTTCCCGGTTGACCTAGTAATCAAATATAAAGTGTTTTAACATTGTTTTTAGTAAATTTTAACTATATTTAAAGTAGAAAAACCTTGCAAAAAAGTTAGAAAAATGTTTGAAAAAGTCGAAAATTTAGTCATTTTGGGTCTTTCCCCCCCCCCCGCTAATCCTAAAGGTTCTATAGGATTTTTCGACCTAAAATTAAATTTTTTAATTAAAATGTGGGTAGTTTTTATGCTCAGGACTAGTTAAAAACCATTTAGAAACGCATGCGCTATTTAGAAAAGAATTTAGGCTCGGGCCGAAAAAATTTGGTTTCCCCCCGGAAATACTTCCCCGGAAATCCTAAAGAACCCGAACCGCTAAGGGCACCGAGAAGTGAGAGAAGCACCCCTTCTGTCGCCTAGGTCTCGACAGCTACACGAGACTCTAAATGACACAGATGCCTAGTCATTTTACCGCCGTAGCGAGGGGAAATTCGGAAAAATAAGATAGCAATTGACGCGTCATTTGGAGTGCTATGTAATTGTCGAGACGGATCGACTACGAGAGGACGCAGTCGATGGAAAGGGTAGATTTTTCGCTTTCTGGCTCTTCTACAAGAACAACAAGCCCAGTGGATCCTTTTCTTTAAAGCATTTTTCCTTAAAATTGAGGATCCATACGAGAGGACGCAGTCGATGGAAAGGGTAGATTTTTCGCTTTCTGGCTCTTCTACAAGAAAAACAAGCCCAGTGGATCCTTTTCTTTAAAGCATTTTTCCTTAAAATTGAGGATCCATCCTGCTTTCCCTTTACTTAAAAACTACACCTCTTCCGGCCAAAACACTGCTGAGAGGACAGGAATCTCATTTTCTGAAAAGGGCACTAAACGCACCCGGGCTCTTCCTCGGTTAGGGCCAAGCCAAGGCCCCCAAGTACTGGAAAAGGCAGGGCCAATTTCCCGTTAAAAACTGAAGAGGCAGAGGAAGAGGGGGAGGGGAGGAGGCGCAGGGAGTGGTAAACTTGCCAAAAGAAACGACAACCTTGCTAGCTGAAAGACCCGGAAATTTTGAACGCATTCGACTTATCGATTTTCTTCAACTCGGTATATTCTAAATTTTGGCGAAACTACCGTACTAAATCATATTCCAAAAATTGCCTAAAAATTCGGCTATCTTTCAAATTTTCTAAAAATTCTATGTTTACTTTGAACAAGCCTACCGCAGAGATTTCTAAAATTGGCCCAAGCTACCGTAATACTGGCCATTAAAAACCTAAAAACTCGAAATTTCCGGTTTTACAACCTACTGAAAATGGATGACGCCCCGTATTTCTAAAACGCGCTAGGGATACGGTAATCTATCTTCCTGCTATTTTTGCTTTGTTAAATATTGCCCGGGCTACCGTAACGGATCACGGAAATGCTCCTTTATTTCGCCACCCTTATTCTATACCTACAAAATTCCATCGACAGCAGCGTAGCCACAAAGCGCCACAAAATCTCGGTGCTCATTTTTGGGGCACCGAAGTTCGAGGATACGGTGCATTTCGTACAGGTTGTCATTTGGACATTGTTGGAATTTCTGCAGCTTTAGGGCGCTTTTGAGGAAGTATTTCTTGGTGAGAATTTCCGGATCGGGGAAGCCGAGTTTCACCAGGAATTTATCGAAGTGAAGGCGCCGGCGGGCGGGAAGTGGGTGTCAAAGAATCTCTGTTAGCCTGCCCCCGTCCATCCCCTCCAATTCCTCTAAGAATCTCTGCTAGTCTGCCCCCGTCCATTCCCTCCAATTCCTCAAAGGATCTCTGCTAGCCTGCCCCCTCAATCCCCTCCAATTCCTCAAAGGATCTCTGCTAGCCTGCCCCCCTCCATCCCCTCCAATTCCTCAAAGAATCTCTGTTAGCCTGCCCCCGTCCATCCCCTCCAATTCCTCAAAGGATCTCTGCTAGCCTGCCCCCCTCCATCCCCTCCAATTCCTCAAAGAATTTCTGCTAGCCTGCCCCTCCATCCCCTCCAATTCCTCAAAGAATTTCTGCTAGCCTGCCCCTCCATCCCCTCCAATTCCTCAAAGAATTTCTGCTAGCCTGCCCCTCCATCCCCCTCCAATTCCTCAAAGAATTTCTGCTAGCCTGCCCCTCCATCCCCTCCAATTCCTCAAAGAATTTCTGCTAGCCTGCCCCTCCATCCCCTCCAATTCCTCAAAGAATTTCTGCTAGCCTGCCCCTCCATCCCCTCCAATTCCTCAAAGAATCTCTGCTAGCCTGTCCCCTCCATCCCCTCCAATTCCTCAAAGAATTTCTGCTAGCCTGCCCCTCCATCCCCTCCAATTCCTCAAAGAATTTCTACTAGTCTGCCTCATGAATTTTATTTTTAGCTCAACAAATCTCCTTGAATTAACCTCGGAAATCCTCTGTAAACCCGTTATTAATGGATCGGTGGCGGTGGTTATCTATCGGCATCGAGGGGAGGAAAGCACACATCAGGTAAGTTTCGCTTTCTCTCTCTCCATCTCTCTCTCTCTCTCTCTCTCTATCTCTCTCCTTTTCAGGACTATCTCTCGCTCGTCTCTACCACCGCTTTCACGCTGGGCCTCTACCAAGTGCCGGTCGTGGCCGGCATGGTCAGGGATGAAGATTTTGGGCAAAAGGTATGGGAGGCGAGACGTAGTGGTCGCGTTGCGTGTCTCCTTCTGTCCAAGCGGCACGCAGCGCAGCCGCAACGCTTCAAATGGCCGCGATTTTAGAAACGGAAGACGGTTTCGCTCTGTTTAGCTCGTCTACCCGAGCTTCATCCGGCCGACGCCCTCCTTCAGTGACGAGGCCCATGTTTTCCTGTTTTTGCTCGAGAAGTTGAACTATCGACAGGTCAGCTTGACTTCAAGATATCGCTAAATCATTTCAGGTCAGCCTAATCCACGTCAAAGGCGATAGAAACGGAGCGGCATTCAAGTTGGCCTTCCGGCAGAAGCGGAAAATTTTTAAAATACACGTAACTTTTTCCTTTTTTAGGTTTTTTAGGAGTATTTTTCGGAGCAGAAGATGTTTTAAATCCGTTTCTAGGTGCAATCGTACGTGGAGGTCGAACTGAACGAGGAGCTGAACAACACGATAGCAGAGAAATTCGAGGAAATCACGTCGAATATTATAGTGCTGTTCGCAAAGTGAGGTCTACGGTAGCTAAAATGGCACTTATCGCGTCATGGAATACACCTGGTCCGTTTAAAATGTCTAATTTAGGAAAAACGCAGCTGAAACGATATTTGCGGCTTGTCCACAGCTAACCTCTGGTGGAAAGTTGTGGCTGATGAACGAGGAGGCGATGAAGGCTGCAAATTCGCCGATAGGTAGGATTTTAAAGGGACTCGGAAGCGTGAGAATCGATCCTCGCGATCAATTGGGTGTCGACAGTTACGCGTACCTCCAAATAACACATGCAAGCCGTTTTCGTATATTCTCAATTCATGGCATAAGGTGTGTCGTGCCGCAGTCGAAAACTAAAAAAAATCGAGAAGTAGATTCTCGGGCCAACCGTCCTCTTGAAAGCAGAAGAAAATACGTTTTTTAGGCTTGATTGGCTCTCGGTTGACCCAGACGCCAAGTGAAGCGCTGCGGGACTCATTTTCGATCATTAAGGTGCGAGACAGAGAGCGAGAAAGAGCGCGAGAAAGAGAGAGTGAGAGAGAGCGAGAGAGATAGAGAAATAGAGAGAGAGGGAGAGAGAAGAGAGAAAGAGGGAGAGAAAGCGAGAGAGATGGAGAGAGAGAGAGAGAGAGAGAGAGAGAGAGAGAGAGAGATAGAGAAAGCGAAACGGCTATGCAAATTTAGTCCGGTCTCGAAGCCGTCGGCGATGGAGTGGCCGGACTACAACCACCAACAACCTGCGAAAAAGACGCAAACGCGAAGGGTGTCGATCTGTGGTCTACGATCCAAGCGCCATTAATTTATCGGTATTTCATCGAGCTGTAGCGGTGCCTAAAGGGAGTAGAAACCCCTAGAATCGACCCTCTCGCTCGACTGGGTCTCGACAGCTACGTAGGACTGCAAATGACACTTGGTAATCTAGTTTTGATGCGGCTTAGAGAGACACTAAACGATACGACTTTGAAGCAACATTTAAACGCCCGTTTAAAGGTGTTTTCCGGTGTTGCATAGCTGTCGAGACCCAGCTAGCGTCAGGGGTCGAAGTTCGAGCTTTCGAGTTCCTTTAAGATCGATTTTTTAGCCATTTCTGCGCGCCCACCTCCTCCCGCCTCTTTTTCAACGAGGCCTGCGCCCGCGAAGCGATAAACTACGATTTGTTGAACAAGAGTCCGGACGGGATACGGTATATCGGGAATGTGGTGAGTTTTAGCAAACCAGAGAACCAAGACATACTGCTTATTTAGACCGACGACATCCTAAAACTCGACGAGTGGAAGATATTTTGGCCTGGTGCAACGGCCAAGCCACTCGAGATTACCTTACCTAGGCATTTACGGTAGGCAAAACCTCGTGAAAACCACAAAAATTTGAAATTTAGAGTGGTTACGGTAGACGACCCACCATTTGTCTACGCGATTCCGATTCAAAATTTGAGCCTTTGCGACGAGTTGGGCGAGCAGGAGATACGGCTATCGGATGATGGGAGCATTAGTATCGTGAGTCAGGGCTATTCGATTACGTCAGGACTGCCCAATGACTTTATAATGGCTTCAAACCTACATAAAATAGTTTGGGCTTTGAAGCGACACTGAACTTGTTGCGGGCGTGCTGCGGATAGAGTTGCGTCGACCTTACATAATACGTTTTTGCACGCGTTGCAGGAAGGCTGCGGTTTGCTTTGCGTCGCGCTGCGTGTGCGTGGGCGTGGCAAGAGCTTTGCGGATGCGTTGCGGCGCAGGGGTTGAGTTGCTGGCGCGGTGTGTGTGCATCGCGGGTGCGCGGGGCGCGTCGCGGATGCGCTGCGTGTGCGTCGCGTAGCGCTGCGCATTGCGTGCGCGCTGCGGGTCCGTCTGGGCGCGTTGCGGGGGTGTTGCTGATGCGTCCCGATGCGTTGCGTGTACGTTCCGGACGCGTTACGGATGCAGGCTTCAATTAAATTCTATAATTTCAGGCCGGTCCGTGGTATCCCTGCCCGAAACGAGTTCCAAATACGCGACGCTCCGATCCGTTCTGCTGCGCTGGCTATGCGATCGATTTGCTGTCGAATATGTCGTTGCCAGAAGTATGCACAAAAATGAACTTTTTCTAGTTGCAGTTTTTCTAGTCCGGCAGCTGGCTCGACACATCATTCTCCTTCTCCCTGCATCTCAACGAAAGCTACGGTGTCGTGACGGCCCATCCCCAGGATGGAATGCTACTTTCTGGCGCTCTTGGCGAGCTCGTGTTTGATCTTGCTGATATGGCTGTGGGTCAGTTAGAGCTTGTTTTTCTTTACCTGCTTTTCGGTTTTTTGAGAAATCAATTATCGGGGGGCTTGCAACAATATTTCTAGGTGGTATGACGATCAACCCGGAGCGGGAGCGTTTTATCGACTTTTCGGAGCCCTGGTTGTACCATGGAATTCGAGTCATGGAGAAATCGGTAACTTCCGCGGCGATTCTTCGAAAAATTATTTGTTTTGTAGAATCCTCGAGGCTCCCCGATGCAATCATTTCTCCAGCCTATGAAGTCTTCCCTCTGGGGAGCTCTTTCCGTATCTGTGCTTCTGGTCGGATGCGTCATTTTTCTGCTCGACTTCCACAGTCCTTTTGATCGATTTTATAAGGTAGGCAAGAGAGGGCTTGTGAAAGAGAGAGAGAGAGAGAGAGAGAGAGAGAACGAGAGAGAGAGAGAGAACGAGAGAGAGAGAGAGAGAGAGAGAGAGAGAGAGAGGGAGAGGGAGAGAAAGAGGGAGAGAGAGAGAAACAGGCCGAGAGAGAGAGAGAGAACGAGGGAGAGAGAGAGAGAGAGAGAGAGAGAGAGAGAGAGAGAGAGAGAGAGAGAGAGAGAGAGAGAGAGAGAGAGAGAGAGAGAGAGAGAGAGAAAGAGAGACAGAGAGAGAGAGAAAGAGAGAGAGAGAGAGAGAGAGAGAGAGAGAGAGAGAGAGAGAGAGAGAGAGAGCAAAGAAAGTGAAAGAGCGAGACAGAGTGAGCGAGAGGTAGAGAGAGAGGGAGAGAAAGAGAGCGAGATAGAGAGAGTCAGAGATGTTGCAAGAGCGGCGAGAGAGCGAGTGATTTCGAACCCTATTTGCAGCTTGACGCCGGTGGCCTTGACCCTCAAGATCCATTCCTAAAACAAGCCCAAGACGACCGAGTCGATTTCGGGGAAGCCATGTGGTTCGTGTGGGGAGTGTTGCTCAATTCTGGGGTATCGGAAAGTAAGATTTGCGCTGATGATACCACTAATGACTCCCATGAAATTCTATCAGAACGTAGCGATGTTCAGCTCCGTTTCAGAAACACCCCGCTCGTTCTCGGCTCGGGTTCTCGGAATCGTGTGGTGCGGCTTCTGCATGATCATCGTCGCCTCCTATACGGCTAATCTGGCAGCATTTTTAGTATTGGACCAGCCGGAGAAGGGGCTGACCGGCATTGCCGATCCGAGAGTAAGAAGGAAAGTACGGACTTAACGGCGATTTCAGCTCCGGAACCCCTCTACCAACTTCTCAGCGGCTACCGTGTTGAATTCAAACGTTTATCAGTACTTTAAGGTGGTGATTTGGTGGCTTCTACCGTAACTCATACCTGTTTTAGCGTCACGTCGAGCTGTCGACAATGTTCCGAAAAATGGAAGCGCACAACGTGCATAAACCCGGGGATGCCATTAATGCGCTGTTGAACGGGTCGGTGCTGATCTATTGTTTTAAGGGGGTGAGACGCAAAAATTCGAGCCGTTTCATCGATTGGGTCGAGACAGCTACGCCACCGTCCAGTTGTCCTGTTATTCATTCGCGTTTGGGGCAGATTTCACGTCAAGTTTTGGAGAATCCAGCTCCTTTTGCAGAGTATTTTGGAGTGGCCGTCGATACCTCGTTGATGAAAGGGACGATTTCGATACTTTTCAGTCCCTTTAGAAGCATATAAAACCTCCTAAAAAACGCGAAAAGGTGCATTTTTAGGTCTCTGGATGCGTTCATCTGGGACTCGAGTCGACTGGAGTTTGAGGCTTCCAGGAGATGCTCTTTGAGGTAAAAATGTGAAGATAACTGAGTTATAGGAATAAAAACAACTACCTCAATTAATGATATGTAAAATGGGTAAAAATATCTCTAAACTTTAGAACTCGTGGCTCCCTATTCGGCCGTTCGGCGTATGGTATCGGTCTGCAGCGGAACAGCCCCTGGACCCAACATATCACCGCCGCTGTGTTACGGATGACTGAAAGTAAGGTTTATCGATATATCGGTTTTACGTTTTACGTTTTACGCGTTTTACGCTACTTTTGAGCAAATTTAGAAACTTTAAAATATCTTAAAAATGCTGGAAAAACATTCAAAACCTTGAAAATGATAAAATTCTTAATTTTCAGTGTAATAAAATTTCTAACTTACAAAAATTCTTGAAAAATTCATATAATTGCATTAAATGCAGAATTGCTCCCTTAGAAATTCATTTTATCCAATTTTTAGGCGGCCAAATGGAGGCGCTGGACAAGAAGTGGATTTCCATACCCTCGCAATGCGCTGTAGACGCTCACAAGTCACCCGCACGACTTGGTACGTCTTTCAAGACGTTCTAGGCGTCAAAATCTTTGGAAAACAATTCGAAAATGAATAAACTACAGCTCAATTCCCCTGAAATTCAGGCCTAACCAACATGCGCGACGTGTTCGTGCTGGTTACGGCGGGGGTGGTCGCCGGGTGCTTTTTCAGCGCCATCGAGGTCATCTACGGCCGGAAGCGGGCTTTGAAGGGGTACTGTAAATCGAAAAACCCCTAAAATTCCCGTTTCCAGCCGAAGAAACGAGATTGCGAAGCGCTATTTCACCAAGTGGCAGAAGCTGACCGACAATCGAGGCTCGAGGCAGTGAGTTTTCTAAAAGTTGACGTGTCTACTGTAAGCCACATAAATTCAAAATTCCGCTTATATACTTAAGCTATTTCTTAAACGCAAAAAATGCAAAAAAAACGTATTTTATTGGCTTAAATTTGCCTAAAAAAGTAAAAATTTTATCGATTTACTGGTCGTCTAAAAGTTGCCCCAACTACCGTAAACCCTCTAAATATGCATAAATCCGAAAAATACGGTAAACTGTAAAGGTTGTACCCAATTTAATCGGTAAAAGTTACAAAAACCGGATATTTTTCCTACGTTTTTGTTGTTTTCTAAAAGTTGACCAAACTACCGTGATCCCATCTTATTCAGTTTTCTAAATCGTGAATAAGTAATTTTTTCTAGATTTCCGCGGCGCTACCAGCTAATGCGACCCGTGATCCGTCGAGGATTTGCTGGCAAGGAGGCCGTGGGTTTGGACGTGAGTTTATGGCGTTATTAAGGCAAAAATTTGCTGTTTAACAGTTTAATATTATGCTCGAAGTGGTCAGCTACCGTATCTGGATGTCAGAAAATAAGAATGATCACATTTTTACAGATTGTTGGGGTTAAAATGCCTTTGACCGCTATGATCATTCCTCTGCCCCCGAAACGCGCGCCAACTGGCCCACCCGTCTGCAGGGGGTATATAAGGAGGGTCCGTTCCCCAACCCTCGTTCATTCCTATGAACATATACTAAAATTGGAACAATACAGAGAAGATTAGCATGGCCCCTGCGCAAGGATGACACGCAAATTCGTGAAGCGTTCCAAATTTTTTGTCTTTTTTCGGATTTCGCGACTGGGATAGGGCGGGCTGGCAGAGATTCTTTGAGGAATTGGAGGGGATGGAGGGGGCAGGCTAGCAGAGATTCTTTGAGGAATTGGAGGGGATGGACCAGGGCAGGCTAGCAGAGATTCTTTGAGGAATTGGAGGGGATGGAGGGGGCAGGCTAGCAGAGATTCTTTGAGGAATTGGAGGGGATGGACGGGGGCAGGCTAGCAGAGATTCTTTGAGGAATTGGAGGGGATGGACCAGGGCAGGCTAGCAGAGATTCTTTGAGGAATTGGAGGGGATGGAGGGGGCAGGCTAGCAGAGATTCTTTGAGGAATTGGAGGGGATGGACGGGGGCAGGCTAGCAGAGATTCTTTGAGGAATTGGAGGGGATGGACGGGGGCAGGCTAGCAGAGATTCTTTGAGGAATTGGAGGGGATGGAGGGGGCAGGCTAGCAGAGATTCTTTGAGGAATTGGAGGGGATGGACGGGGGCAGGCTAGCAGAGATTCTTTGAGGAATTGGAGGGGATGGAGGGGGCAGGCTAGCAGAGGTTCTTTGAGGAATTGGAGGGGATGGACCAGGGCAGGCTAGCAGAGATTCTTTGAGGAATTGGAGGGGATGGAGGGGGCAGGCTAGCAGAGATTCTTTGAGGAATTGGAGGGGATGGACGGGGCAGGCTAGCAGAGATTTTTGAGGAATTGGAGGGGATGGAGGGGGCAGGCTAGCAGAGATTCTTTGAGGAATTGGAGGGGGATGGACGGGGGCAGGCTAGCAGAGATTCTTTGAGGAATTGGAGGGGATGGACGGGGGCAGGCTAGCAGAGATTCTTTGAGGAATTGGAGGGGATGGACGGGGGCAGGCTAGCAGAGATTCTTTGAGGAATTGGAGGGGATGGACGGGGGCAGGCTAGCAGAGATTCTTTGAGGAATTGGAGGGGATGGAGGGGGCAGGCTAGCAGAGATTCTTTGAGGAATTGGAGGGGATGGAGGGGGCAGGCTAGCAGAGATTCTTTGAGGAATTGGAGGGGATGGACCAGGGCAGGCTAGCAGAGATTCTTTGAGGAATTGGAGGGGATGGAGGGGGCAGGCTAGCAGAGATTCTTTGAGGAATTGGAGGGGATGGAGGGGGCAGGCTAGCAGAGATTCTTTGAGGAATTGGAGGGGATGGACGGGGGCAGGCTAGCAGAGATTCTTTGAGGAATTGGAGGGGATGGACGGGGGCAGGCTAGCAGAGATTCTTTGAGGAATTGGAGGGGATGGAGGGGGGCAGGCTAGCCGAGATTCTTTGAGGAATTGGAGGGGATGGAGCAGTGGTCGTTTAGGATGAAGCAGCACACGAATTTGTGGCAAGCCAGCAGTGCTCGTTTGTATTCCTTTTTTCCAGGAATGCCGCCGTAAGCTGATCGCTCGCCAGATGCGGATCCCGCCCGTCGACGTCCGCCTTGAGGGCGATTTTGTGCCGTCGTATCGATACGGAAGAGTGCCAATCATCACGTTTTGCAGTCGATGCCGGGTGAGTCTAACCGATTACGCCATCTAATTTCCGAAGTCCTATCCGAATCCTCAACCTTTTTTTCAGCAACTAATCGAGACGGAAACCCGGGAAGAAACAGGGATTTTTGCGGTGTGGCTGTGCATCGCATTGGCTTGTCTTCTGCTATGGCCATGCGCACCATTGCCCTGTTTCCTGCCGATCTGCCAGGATATCGCCCACATCTGCCCTCATTGTCGGCATGTTCAGGGGAGAGCAAGGAGGGGCAGGAGGCCCAAATTTTATGTATAATTTTTGTAATAAACTTTTCTATTCAATTTCCATCGATTGCAACGGTTCTTACAGAGGAGCTTTCGCTTTATCGGGAGAGAAGAGGTGGTTTATCTGGGAACAACAATTTTTTTTAATTTGTAGCCGATTTTCTCATATGCAAAGAGAAAGCTTGTTTAAACTGGTTTCTATCATTTTTAACATAAAAACTTCGCAAACGATGTTAAAAAAAACAGAAAAAACTAGTTTTTAGCGGAAAAATAGTCGATTCTTGGCAAAAATCGCTAAACTTGAAAATTTTTAGGGTTTTATACATGGTTTTTATCGCTTTAAGCAGAGTAAAATTTTACCAAAAACGCTAGAAAAACGTTTTTAGGCCTTTTTATAGTTGTGCAGGCTAGCAGGATTCTTTGAGAAAGATTCTTTCGGACCAGTTTTTTTCGGATCCGGGGCAGGCTAGCAGAGATTCTTTGCGGAGACTCCATTTCTAGATTTATTTCCTTAAAATTAAGGTACAAAGAGCAGATTTTAGCACCAAATCCAGAGCTGTATGCTGGCAGCCGCCGCGCCGAGTGGATAAGGCCAAGATCACAGTGTTGTGTGTGGGTGGGTGTGCAAGAATCGATAGGCGATTCGAAAACAATGAGAAAGATATCACGTGACTCATTAAGGAGAGGAGAGATCCCGTATGTTCAAAAACGCAGCCAACGCATGAATCAATCACAATGCAAACAGATAAATAGAGGACAATCGATCGATTTTCGGGTCCTCACCAGACGACGCATCGCTTGCTGGGGTTCATCGTCGAGCCGGCCGGGCATTGGAACGCGTGCGCGAATTCGGGTTGATTCTGAAAGGTGAAAAATGATCCTAAAAAATCTCTGCTAGCCTGCCCCCTCCATCCCCTCCAATTCCTCAAAGAATCTCTGCTAGCCTGCCCCTCCATCCCCTCCAATTCCTCAAAGAATCTCTGCTAGCCTGCCCCCTCCATCCCCTCCAATTCCTCAAAGAATCTCTGCTAGCCTGCCCCCGTCCATCCCCTCCAATTCCTCAAAGAATCTCTGCTAGCCTGCCCCCTCCATCCCCTCCAATTCCTCAAAGAATCTCTGCTAGTCAGCTTCGACTTGTACCTTTAAGACACAAAATTTACATACCTGGAGCACGACATTGACTCGGAACATGCCCGGAGCATGAGGATCGGTGAGAATGAGACGGAGGGTGGCCTCGGGCGTCATTTTGTTGCACCACGTCTGAAAAAGACCATATTTCCCTCTGGGTCAATCTCGCTCTCTCCTGGTCTCGCTCCCACTCTCTCGCTCTCCCTCTCAGGTTTCGATGGAATGCCGAAAAATTAGCTGATTTCAGCTATTTTTGTGAGCATCTTACTCTCTCTCTCACTCTCTCGCTCTCTCTCTCTGTGTCTCTCTTTCTCTCCCTTACCTGAGCGTATCCAATAAAGAACATCTGGTCATTCGTGTACTTCTCTAGTCCAGGAAGAGCCTCTTCCGGTCCGTGCTTTTCAAGGAAGCGTTTGTAGGCCTTGTAAGCCTGCTTGACGCCTCCATTATCAGCGATATTCTCGCCCTGGGTCAGTTTTCCATTCAAATGTTGTCCGGAGGTGTTTGGCACTTCTTGGGCACCATACTAAAATGAACATTTACGATGCCAATTAATAGAAAGTGGCATTTTAATGGCAAAAAGCTTCAATTTCGCCCTTACCTGATCAATTATGCACTGTGTCCGTTCCTCAAACTTTTCCCTTGTCGACGCGTCCCACCAGTTCTTCAGGTTGCCGTCCTTGTCGAATTGAGAGCCTGGAAATTAAAACTAGCTTTCTTACAATAATCCGATTTTTCTAACCCTAAATAGCGCAATAATCTACTATGTCAATTGTCTAGGATTTTTTTTGGTTAAAAAGTGCAACAAAAGATCGGCCTCGACCAAAATTTCACCTTAAGCTTTTTGGAAGTTTTTGTTGGATTCCACGAACACACAGATAAAATATTTATTATTAAGTTATCGGCATTTCTAGACATACAAAAATACGTCTGTCCCCCCCCACCCCCGATAAAGCGAAAGAATCGCTTTTCTCAGTAATTCTTAACCACCGAAGCTTTACTTACCCTGATCATCGAATCCGTGGGTAATCTCGTGTCCGATCACGGCTCCAATTCCACCGTAGTTAAGGGACCTGAAAAATTGAGATAAAACGGATAAATTTGAATAGATAAAATAATTTCTAGATTGTGCTCCTGTTCTCCACTCGTAACGCAAGCTAATTGTAAGCTACCACACCCCTTTAAAGCAATTAAAAGAATACGAAACTTACTTCGGGAATTCAGCGTCGAAGAACGGCGGCTGCAGGATGCCGGCGGGGAACACTAAAGGAAAAAGTGATGCCGATTTAAAAACAACGCACTAATCGCATTCTTGATCGACGAGTAGAAGGCGTTGACGACGGCGGCGTTCGTGCTGAACTCGTCGCGCTTCACCGGCTCGAGAAGGCTAAACAACTCGTTTAACGCCTCTTTCTCTTTAGCTTTCATTCTCTCTCTCTCTCTCTCTCTCTCTCTCTCTCTTTCTTTCTCTATCTCTCTCTCTCTCGCTCTCGCTCTCACTCTCTCTCTCTCTCTGGCTCTCCCTCCCTTCCTCTCTTCGCTCACCGATTGTACGCAAAATTGATGCCCCATCGCGTGGCCTTCTCGATCATCTGCGAGTAGGTGTCGGTCTCGGAGACGGTCAGCTAAAAAACACAGAAAATCTAGATCACAATTCCGAAAAGCCAAACGTTTAAAATCGTTAAAAACTCACATCACGATACCAATGGTCGAGCTCTTCGTCCTCGAGGATGAAGTCGGGGAAGCCGATCAGACGGAGCATGGCCGAGGCCTTTTCTTGGGCAATCTAAATGGAAATGTGCACATACACAAACGAGCTCGATTCTTCTTTTAAAGGCGTTGAGAAGTTCAAAAATCCGCCCCACGCTCCGCTAGGTCTCGACAACTACGCAAAGGTCCAAAAGATGGGTTCGGGCTGCGAAAATTATGAGCGCGCGTCATCTGGAGCGTCGCGTAGTTGTCTAGTCCTAGTCGATAAAAAGACAATTTTTGAAGATGCCAACGAAACGCCTAAAAATCGACCCTCCCTCTCTACTAGGTCTCGATAGCTACGCAACACTCCAAATGACGCGTTCAGGCTGCCAAAACTACGATTGGCACGTGCTATTTGGAGTGCCGTGTAGTTGTCTAGACCTGGTCGCTAGGAGGGTGGACTTTCGCGTTTCCTGGTCCCTTTAAAACCGTTAAATTCTGACCTTCTTGGTGCTGGGGTCCATCCAGTCGTTCTGCAACAGCATGGCGGCAAAGGCCTCCTGCAGGTCGTCGATCATGTCCACGGTGGTGGCTTTGGCGGCCTGAAATGACGATTTATCTCTCTCTCTCTCTCTCTCTCTCTCTCTCTCTCTCTCTCTCTCTTTCCTCTCTTTCTCTCTCTCTCTCTCTCTCTCTCTCTCTTTCTTATTTTCTGACCTTGTTGAAGAAGTGGCGAACGTACAGCGAGCCGGCGGCATAGGGCATTCTAAAAAACGCGATTTTTTGCTATAATTACCGTAATACAAACCTGTTAGTAGTAGATGAAGAGCAGTCCTTCCACCGTGGCGATTTCGTCTTTTTGCCAACGAGATCACGGACGAAATCCTGAAATGAGCAATAGAGTCCTCCTCAAGATTCCTCAAGAATCTCTGCTAGTTTGCCCAAGTTTTGATCTCCCAAAAAACTAACCAAAAATGAATAAATCGGATAAAGCACTTTTAAGGCAAAGGCAAGCTAGCCGAGGCCATTTGGGAACCTTTCTCAAAGAATCGTTGCTAGCCTGCCCTCCCAAAAATATCTCACTCCAGACGAACCTGGTAAATGTCCTCATATTTCTTGCCCAACTGCATGCTCCACGCCGAGGTGTACCTGGAAAAGTCTGGGTTTAAAGAGGTCAAGAAGCCGGAGAATCGACCCCTTGTGTCTATTAGGTCTAGACAACTACGCAACGCTCCAAATGACGCTACTAATGCGCTACCTAAATCCCAGAAATCAGGTTTTTGTGTCATTTGGAGTGTTGTGTAGCTGTCTAGACCCGGCCTCCGGTAAAGCTCGATTTTTTTCGCTCTCAAAAGGGTCTAGAAATCCAAAAAACCATGGTTAAAAATCCGGTAATCTCCAGCTACCTGTAGATGACATAGTTGGTGATGACCCTCGGGTCCGTGTCCTTCAACAGCTCGGTGAGACGGTGCAGGAAGTCGACCTCGGTGATGATCACCTGAAATTTTTGAGTTCAAAGGGATGCCGACGGCATAGTCAATCGGTTACGCGCGGCAAATAAAATGTCTCTGCGCCTCTCCCCTGGGCGCGCTCTCTGCCCTGTTGGCTACTTGCCAATTTGTTGATGAGGGGGGATCGACACATGCCGTCGGCAGCCCTTTAAGGACCATGGAAGGCGAGGTTTAGAGCGAAAATCTCTTTTTCAAGGTCCATTGAAGGTAAGAATCAATATAAAATCAACTTTAAAGACGAAATGAAGTGAAAACCGACTAAAATGCTGATTTTAGAAAGTAAATTTGTATAACACTGTTTTAAAGGACGATTGAAGCCAAAAACTACCAGAAAAATTATATTTTAACGGAGCTTTGAAGTCAAGATTTACCTGTGGATCGGCTTTCAGGTATGCGTGTGTGGAGAAGGGCATGACCGAGACGAAATAGCGCTCCCAATCGATCTAAAAAATTATGTCTTGGCTCTCTCTCTTCCTCTCTTTCTATCTCTCTCTCTCTCTCTCTCTCTCTCTCTCTCTCTCTTTCTCTCCCTAGAACTCACAATCGGCATGAATTTGGCCATTTCGGAGAGGCGTGAGAGGTAGTAGAGCTCGGTGTAATTCCTCCTGTCCTCCTCGGCTACAGTGATATTGGCAAAACGGGTCTCGAACTCGAACATTTCCTCGACGTCGCGCTAAAAACGCGATATTTTAGGTTA